CGGATGAAGATGGTGGATTCAAAGGGGATAATAATTGTTAGGAGCGGTTGCGAAAACATGTGCATCTCTTTCATTAATCCCAATAATTATATCCAGAGACATACTTTCATTTATATATTTATAGCTATTTATTGCCTGTGCTTGTTTGATTTTGTGTGTGCGTCAGTTAGCCTGTGGCTTTCTTTAATATATATTATAATATGATTTTATCTATTTATACGACATTTTGCTCAGTTATAGAAAATACAAGACCACCCATTATCGTTTGATTTAGGGTTTAGGGGATGTTCATAAATAACGTCACGCTTGTTTGTCGACTTTTATCTCCCCACTTTCCTACTCCTCCCACTCCCCACTTTGACACATTGTTACAAAATGCCACCCCCCCCCCCCACACACACACACACATCTAAATAGACGTCACACCTCAACCAACATGTTTTTTTTTCTTTTTAAAAACACAGATTTTAGCTAAGCTTTCTCTTCCAATGCTACGGCCACTTTACCAGACCCACCTAAGCTTACGTGTTTTTGTCTTTTTAAAAATATATTTCTTTCTATGATGTTATCTGAGCTCGAACTAAAGCTAAAGACAAAGTAATAATAAAGATTTAGTACCATTCGCATACCTTTTCCACTGATAACTTTCTATGTACGAAACTTAAAACAAAAAAAAATGGACTCTGCCTGAATGTGTTTCGCAGGGTGGCTATCACACTCTCATCTCGACCAGCTAGTCACATATATTTTGTTGAACATATTTTTGTATAATTGTATACACTCTCATTTAACCATAAAAGCAAAATTAAGCCAAATAGTATTTATTTTTAAATTATATCTCAATTTATGGCGCGGCGTGGCATAGCAGTAGAGAACTAGATTGCTGAAACGTAAATCTAGAGATCGAATCCGGTTTCTAGTCAATATTTCCTTGTCAGCTGCACATAGTGCTAACCACACTATCCCCTCATAGGCCAAGGTCTTGGGCACGAACGGGAAAAGATGATAACGTAATTGTACTTATTCCATTGCTATGAACAAAGATTAAAGGCTGAAAAATTCAGTAAACAAACTCAAATATTTACCGTGTCTTGAGACGTGTTTTGCTTTTGACTAATTAATTTTCGTTTGGAATGCCATTCTTGTGCTGCTGCTTACCTAAATATGGCTTAAAATTGTTATCTGTCAATGTAGATAAATGTATTTTATTCTCGAATCAGGAGAATCGTCACGCGTATCCTAATGAAAATTGATAATAGTGCTGGAACCTAATACATGTAACGCTCTGACAATCGTTAAAGTTATAACTGACGCAAAATGTTGATGTATAATGCATTGAACTTCGAATGTGGAACGTGATCTAGTTTTCATGGAAGTCATGTTTATTGTGAAGATAAGTAAATAAAGTGTTTATTCTGAACTTTTATAATAAAAAGTTTCTTTCTAATTCTCTAGATTTCATTCAAATCTTTTTTATACATTCATTTTAAAAACAGTGTTTTTGTTTGCATATAATGCATATAATGCAGATTTTATAATCTCTTGATATTAACAAAAAAATGAATATACATACATAAACATTTTTTTTTCTTTTAGTAGTATACAGATAGATATGTTTTATGGTTTAATGATGTAAAATTGTATCATTATATACAAATTTACTTGTGAATATTAATCGTCCCATAGCGTCGCAACAAATCTCGCGCGTAGATAATTTTTGTATTAGCGTCTGATCACGTGACTAAAGCAACAACGGACAGACGTCGTCAATATAACAGAGGCCATTAATTTTCTCGGCATGCGTGTATTGGATAAGATCAAATAAAGCCGATTCTTACGTAGGACACAAGTACCTACTACTGATACAATCACGTTTCTCGTTTCTTTAATAAGCCGTGCAGTATTATTTTATTTTACTCCAGCTGTTGTCCTTGAAAAGAAAAAAAAAGTGTCAAGATTTTTGTTGGCTACAGCTATCATACGAAACGCTACATCTATCACATTTAAGTAAAAAAATCATTTTTAGACCAAATTGTAGTTCCCAAAAAGCTCATTTTTCAAGAACGCTATATTTACTTTATTTTATCATATAAAACGATTCTAGTGACTCATTTTTTTTTACTTTCCCTGAACACTCCGGTTGATTCAAACATAAGCACACGACGGTTTTTAAAAACACTTGAATTGATAAAATAAATCTAAAAATTGTTTTAACGGCTTGTCTTCAATAACAAAATATAAAAAAATGAGTGCAGCCGATGGTTAACAAAAGGCTCTAATTTAAAAAAAAACATCTGTAACTTTATTGCTTGTCATATTTGTTTTAAAAAAGAAATGTAATATTTTATAATGATTATATAGATTTTGAACCACTTTTCAAGCCAATTTCAAATCACTAGACTGTATTGCTGTGATGTATACAAATGTCATATCTACCGTATAATAGTATCACAAGACAGTTTTGGATAGAGACTTCAACATTTTTAACACACTGCTTGACAGTACTCAATGATGGCTATTAGCTTTTTATATACATCCTTTCTCTTGGTATCTGTTGCATGCATTCACGATCAGACAGCTATCAAAATAAAAACTACCTATTTCCAACAACTAACGGAATACGATAAGACGAATAATAGGCAAACATTTCATTCATTTTCCTTGACCAGTTAAACTGTATCAATATAAACGTAATATATATATACGTATATATATAATAATAAAGGAAACGTTATAGGATTAAAAGAGTTATAAAAATGTATTTACATATGTAGACTTCAGTTATGCATAAGTATGTTACATACACGTATCATATTTATATTATTTAAACATTATTTTATGTATGTTATTTATACCACTAATATTTTGATTACATATTTAAAATTATACATTAATGTTCTTATGAAAAATTATGCACATATTATTTATTTTGTACATATACAAAAAAGTACATATAGTAAAATAAAAACAAATATTAAAAAAACTTTATAGCAACAAGCTTATAAATGCACTAAAATAGGGAAAAAAAACAAGTTTGTTTTCTTTTATATAAGCTTTTGTCGCTAAAATATGTAAAAGATCTCATGAGCGACCAAACTTTTATCAAAGAAAACATTCGTTTTAATTTCTTTTTTTCGGTGCACTTAGAAGCTTGTTGCAATACATGTTTTTATATTTTTTTTATTTTCTACTTTTTAGTGATTCCTTATTTATGAATCCGATGCGAATAAAAGAATGTGTTCAAAACGCAATCAGTAGATCGCGATATCCGAAAGACGATTATTTGCCCCGTGAAAAGCAGCCGTCCGTGACCACAATTTACAGACAACAGCGAAGGATAGACCGAAGGATAGTTCTGGATTCCCTTAGTTTCAAATCTTTAAAAAACGATATTATCTGTCCATAACAGCCTACAGACCTACCGGTTCTACGATCTATATATATATATATATATATATATATATATATATATATATATAATTCTCTTCTGGGAGACGCTAGAAAACAAGCTGTAAGCGCGCTCCCTACCACCCCACCCTACATGGTCTGGTGAGCTGTGGTTCACGCTAAATGTTTACAATTCGTAGAGCCGGGTTTAGTGACGGCTATTAGGGGCAGATAATTTAGCTTGAAACGATTTTACACTTAAGGGAGGTAATTAAGAGGAGGCTGCTTTCACGGGGGGGGGGAGGTTGGGTAAGGGGTGGGGGAAAGGAGGGTGGGGGTAGGGGTTAGGGGAAAGGAGAGTGGGGGTAGTTTCGTTCTTAACCACCTACTGATAGTTTTTTAAAGCAAATATTTTCAGTGGCAGCATTGGTACTGTCGAATTCACAAATTATGAATTACTGAAAAGTAGAAAATAAAACAACTAAATAGCGGCGTATGATATGCCACGGGTCAGCTCGTTGTAAATATTTGACGTGAACCCCCCGCTCACAAGACGGGTCTGGTGAAATCATCTATTATTTATCTCCCCTTTTATTATTGGATATAATAATCTATCGAGTAATCTATAGCAAATATTCTTGTTATGTTCTTGTTACATAACAAGAACATTCTTGTTATTCTTGTTATTTTCTGTGTATTTGAAAGCTTGCTATTAGAAAGGTTTTAGATATTTGTTTTATTTTCTACTTTTTAGTGATTTGTAATTTATGAGGTCGACACGACTAAAATTATTTGCTTTTAAACCCCATCAGTAGATCGCGATATCGAAAGGACGATTATCTGCCATATGAAAGCGGCCGTCTGGGACTGTATTTTACAGACGACAGCAAGTTCTTTTTTTTTACCTCCCTTTGTTTCAAATCGCTTATAAAAATTTTACAACCTGCCCCTAAAAGCTTTCACTAGATCGACCGTCTCCGCTTTTGTGAACATTCGGCGTGAACCACAGTTCACCAGACTGGTGATTTGATAGCGTCTAATAACTAATTTAACATCTAATTAAATAAAAAATAGATAGACTTGTATTGTCATCGAAATGGAACGTATCTGGAAAGTTTGAAATAGGTCGAAATTAAAATTACAAGATTTGCCACAAACCCACAAACAAACTACAAACAAACAAACAAAAAAAAACTTGCACACTAAATAAAAGCTTGTGAAAAAATAAACACGTGTTCTTATTTTTTAGAGTTTTAATTCAAATTTTCTTCTCAGATAACGTTAGGTCGTAATTGTAGAACAATGGATGAAACTGCAGTAAATAATTACACGGAAAAAAGTGGAAGAGTTCTTTTTAACAAATTTTAATGTATATATATATATATATATATATATATATATATATATATATATATATATATATATATATATATATATATATATATTGTGAGATATATATGTGTGAGTGAGTGAGTGAGTGAGTGAGTGAGTGAGTGAGTGAGTGAGTGAGTGAGTGAGTGAGTGAGTGAGTGAGTGAGTGAGTGAGTGAGTGAGTGAGTGAGTGAGTGAGTGAGTGAGTGAGTGAGTGAGTGAGTGAGTGAGTGAGTGAGTGAGTGAGTGAGTGAGTGAGTGGGTGAGTGGGTGAGTGGGTGAGTGGGTGAGTGGGTGAGTGGGTGAGTGGGTGAGTGGGTGAGTGGGTGAGTGGGTGAGTGGGTGAGTGGGTGAGTGGGTGAGTGGGTGAGTGGGTGAGTGGGTGAGTGGGTGAGTGGGTGAGTGGGTGAGTGGGTGAGTGGGTGAGTGGGTGAGTGGGTGAGTGGGTTAGTGGGTTAGTGGGTTAGTGGGTGAGTGGGTGGGTGGGTGGGTGGGTGAGTGGGTGAGTGGGTGAGTGAGTGATAGTATGTGGTTGTAACTAGTAAAATCCGATATCTCAGAGTCTTTTTTATTTAAAAAAAAACTATTTTTTCTCTAAGCTAATAAAGCATTTAATTAACTTACAGTACGCGGTGTGGTTGTAGAGATTTGAAAATGTTCACTAGTTATGGCGATGATATCTAGAGATAAAGCTAACGTAAGGTGGGCAACAATATCAAATTGTTAGTGTTATTTTTATGAGAACATATTTTGATAAGTAGTTGGTTTCTTTATGAGACTTTACTTTTATATAACAGTATCAACCTGTTAATGTTTTATTCTTGATAGGAATTTTGGCTTTATAAGGCTACCAATTTTACGTTACATCACAAAATTCGGGTACCATGTGGTAGATCAAATAGCCGGAACACATGTCTACTGGTACAGGTGAAACATAACAGTTGCCATAACTCACGGTGAAAACATGTTCTCTCCTCGCCTGTTTCTCTCCCATATTAGCTCACGAAGGTCAAAGGGCCCAATATTCATAGCTACTGAGCCAGTTTATTTATTCTAATTTTTTTTAAAGTCAGTGTATAAATAGCCCTATGACTTGTTAAAGACTCACTTCACACAATTGACTAAACAAGCAATTCTTAGCAACTAAAAAGTACGATATTGTTCATAATAATAACACAAGCGATTTACGTTGTGTAAAACATTTTTCACTGATCCTATGGGAGAATTGGTTCAAACTATTTTTTTTTCAAATTATATACGTTTTAAACGTTGACTGGCTGTTGATAAATAGTAAGAATTCAATCTTTTTCTACACCCTTTAAAGAAACAAATAATATTTATCCAGTAGTGAAAAAAAAATTAATAATATTTATCCAGTAGTGAAAAAAAAATTAATCAAGATTTTTATTTTACTTCAAGTATTTTATTCCTTTTTTCAACAATATTTAGGATAGCGGTCGTCATTGTGGTACAATGATAAATCTGTAGCCATAATAAGATGCCTTGACATATTAAACTGTAAAGAAAACATAAGTAATTTAAAAAAAAAATGTCAGCCTAAAAATTGAATCACTTTTAAAGCACCAAATGCAATTACTTCTCTCTTTCTATGTCTCTCTCTCTCTTTTCTCCCGCTATCTCTATCTACACACACACACACACACACACACATATATATATATATATATATATATATATATATATCTGTATATATATATCTGTATATATATATTATATATATACATGTATATATATATATATATATATATATATATATATATATATATATATATATATATATATATATATATATATATATATATATATATATGTAGGCCTATACTGTTTTCTTTGCTTGGATGCTTTTGATTAAACGTGAGTGTTTGCGTGAGCACAATAGTTACCCGCACCAGGTGCGATTCTACAGCCCAAAGACATCATATAACAAGACTTTTTGGAGAAGATGGCCGAGGACAGGCCGGTCGCTGCACCAACGTTGGTCGCGATAGGCAGGACCATCAACTCTTCCTTAGCACCAGAACAATCGGTGGCGCTGAGCGTGTTGTTTAAGGTTGCAAACGCCCCAATGATGTCGTCCTTCTGGGCGGAGATCTGACTGGCCGCTGCTATGTCCACGCCCCACTTGATGTCGGTGTAACACGTGACTGTGTTGTAGCCGACTAGAGTGTACGAAGTTCTGAGGAATAAATTATGTTATGATGTGTGTTTGATCAGGCATGTTGGTGCGAACGAATATTGGTGCGAAAGATATAATGAACGCATGGAAGATGTGACGCAGTACTCAAGAATATAACGTTTTACTGTAGGATAGTTGTTGCCGGGAAAGAAGTTTAAGGTAATCTTGTTCTTGTTATCTGAGGATGAGGTCGTAAATGTAGTCAAGTCTCCGTATCTTTTGTTAAATAATATAATTCTTTCAAGTCATTTGTCAACGTTGATATCGCCGTACTTGTCAGAACTCTATGATGAATACTGAATTGGTTAGAGAGAAATGTGATGGTAGTATAAATCCTCTCACTGCATAGCTGTGGGATACATAGACCACAGTTATAACACAGCTCGCCTTTAAGGAGAAAATATTAGTACATCGTGAATGTATGTTGACTTATACATTCAAAAAAATTGATTAATCGAAATATCCTAATGATATAAACTTGCGTTGAGCATATTGAACAGTATTTTGGCAATGAAAACAATAAAACGTATATCATGAATACCCGCTTAAAATCAAGACTTTGATACAGTTTGGGTTGATTCAACAAACGTAGGTAATTGGAGACCTATATGACCTTCTATCTACACGGGATTTAACAATTTTTTTGTAACTTATTAAATTGTCTGTAAAATAAGCTACAAAAATTACGCTTATATAAAGTTTGTTTCGTCTATAACTAAAAGTAATTTGCGTACTAAAGTCTCAGAAAAGTTGACTTTCAAAGATCCCCAGTTTTTAAACTTTTCGAAACAATGTCCATTAAGAAGCACACACTTGCTAGAACTAATAGCTAATTTCATTTATAATCATTCATAATCTTCCCATAAGTTAGATCAACGAATGTATTTCTGTCATCATAAACATTCAATGTGTGAGCTAACACTGAAGAAAAGATATGCAATCTCCTACTTGACCTGATATACACAATAATAATTTCTGCAAGTGGGGAAATGGTGGTAGTATGCAGTGTACACATAGATCACTTACCCACTTTTCCTGTACACGACAAAGGTGAGTGATGCAGACGTTTGACAGAAGTAATACCAAGTTGTTATATTTCCGTTGAAGGGGATTCTAAAAATGTTAATAGAAAAACATTGCTTTTACAAATTAAACATTTTACACCTTTAAGCAATTATTTATCTCAATAAAGAAAAAAAATTAAAATATGTTAAATAGATGAGTAATTATTTATATCAATAAGCAGTAACTAAAATAAAATTAAAAATTAAATAATCGTTTTTATTTCGGAGTTAACGAGATCAGAAAACACTTACCTGTAGCCGTCTTTATCAAGAATGACCACTGTCTTAAGAGGTAAGAAGTCCACTCTCCTTCTGACTGAGTTCAAGTTGACATCAGTTGCCACGGGTGTTGCTGTGTGTTATAAAATAAAGTACGTGTTAAAAATTTAGGTATATTATATTAACTTTTTAATTAAGTTTATAATAACTTTAGGTCTATTATATTGTGTGTCATGACTGCAGCTAAATTATATTGAGTATCATACCTTTAGGTCTATTGTATTGTGTATCATAATTTTAGCTCTATTATATTGTGTATCATAACTTTAAGTCTATATATTGTGTATCATAACTTTAGATCAATTATATTGTGTCATAACTTTAGGTTTATTATATTATGTATCATAACTTTAGGTCTATTATATTGTGCATTATTACCTTAGATCTGCTATGTTATATTTAATAACATTAGGTCTCTAATATCATAACTATAAGTCTGCTAAATTATGAAAACAAAAAAGATGGTCCATATTTATTTTTAGATTTAGCAAATAACGTATCACTTCTGCATTCGTAAGAAATGCTAAGATATGTTATTTGCTGTTAAATAAGCTCAGGTAAATAGTCCAATAAATGTTTAGGGTAAACAAAATTATTTAATTGTATAGTAAATCTTTTTTTAATGTGCTGACATAAAATAATAGAATTAGTTTGTAATTTATAAAGATATCTACATAAAAGATTGCAATCATGCTGTTGGGTAGTGTATTTTAGCTTGCAAATAAATATACAAAGCATTAAAACAAAAACGATATATATATATATATATATATATATATATATATATATATATATATATATATATATACATATATATATATATATATATATATATATATATATATATATATATATATATATATAAAAGCGTACATATATATATATATACATATACATATACATATATATATATATATATATATATATATATATATATATATATATATATATATATATATATATATATATAAAAGCGTACATTGACAGACAGGTTCAGTTCCCAGCAAGTTCCCAGAGATAGAACACGCCCTGCTGAGATCTCCTGACACGTAGTACTGGCCAGCATTGCAGGTGAAGGTCATGACCTGACCTGGCTTGATGGTAGCTAGAGCAGACGTCCTGGTGTAGGTGGTGCTGGTGGGGGTGGAGCAAGTCGAGACGACAGCTAGGAAAACAAACAAAAATATGCAATTTGTTTAAAGAATTTATGCAGGCATGTTTTTGACATAACAATCCATAAACGATTTTGAATATTTAAAAAAGTACTAGTATTACTACTATTACTACTACTACTACTACTACTACTACTACTACTACTACTACTACTACTACTACTACTACTACTACTACTAGTACTAATAATAATAATAATAATTATTATTATTATAATTATTCGTAAATAAATTTATTATTATTATTATTACTTTTATAGTTTTTAATTATTATTATTTCTTAATTATTTACTTACATACTTACTTACAAACAATCAACTAGTTTTAAGATCAAAATTTAAATATTAAAAATGTTACACATATTTACAAGAACAGAATCCACATGACAAGGAACAAGATGATTTAGCTGTATCTATCGTGTTAGGGTTGAGACAGAAGGTTGGGCTTTTGGCCATCACACTCTCACATGTGTCCACCTTGTCCACACAGGTAGCTGACGAAAACAACACTGACTGACTGTTAATTATGTATTTCATTATGTTTACATGTTTTGCCTTAGTTCGCCTTGCAAATTTACAATAGTAATACTTATTTTTTATATGTAGCCTACTTTCGTTAATTTAAGATGGTTTACTTATACATAAATCTAATACAAAACGTCTAATTACAAATTTATTTTAAAGAAAAATTATGTTTACCCGTAGCCAAAAAACACAATATTGAGATGAAAAAACGTAAGTTATTATTTATCTTGATATCTTGTATGATTAATCTGTTACATTTTCACTCCGTCTTTATGAATTTTTAAAGCTATAAAAAAGCTCTTAAAACAACTTTTACTCTTTATAATATAAACATCATTAATTTATGATTTTACATATTATGAAAGTAATGTATCGCGTTGTTACAGATGGATTTATTTTTCCATAAAAGATAACTTCCAAAATTATAAACTGTTTGTTAAATTCTTGATTACTTACCTTGGCAAGCCTGATATAGAGTTGTCCACCCTGTGGCTGTACAATACATGTCATTAGCCAGGCCATTGTTGTTGTTGAGAGCACACGTCACCTGGACCTTCTCGCCTCCCTTGTATGAAGCTTTAAGTGACCCAACCACTTGCCCGTCGGTGGGGATGGTCGGTGGACCACAGACAGCTGCAGAACGACACATTTTAGAAGAATTATTCTGAGACAAAATGTAAAGTTTAGTGTAGTTACGTGAACACAGATTTCAATAGTGCCTTCAGTTGTATAAAATGTTCAGATTGTACAGATTTGAATGTAAATGTGTAAAGTTATTTTTTTCAATACATATGCTTATATGAAAAGAGAAATATTATCAGGATTAATTCAATATTGTTTAAAAAACAACTTAAAAATAAAATATTCAGCTTTTACGTGCTTTGATGTGATATTATTCAATTATTTGTTACAAAAGCTCTTATAGAGCAGATTTTTTGGTTAAAGAAATAATACAATAAAATATAAGATACTTTTTTAGAAACTGTAATGTTAAGGACATATTTGCAAATAGATAGCATTAATGATGTTCAGTTTTCTTTAAATGTTTTAACGATTCTTAAGTTCAATGGTTCTTTTAATAATGAAGATTTTATTAATTTTATAAGTAACGCACCACGAGTTGTAGGCTGTACTGTAAAGTTGCAGGAAACAAAACATGAGAACCTCTGTACACCAACAGAACAGAAATTTGGATTGGCGGCCAAAAGGGTGGAACATCTTGTCGTAGCATCCACTGGCTTCTCTGAAGGCAAAATAAACTACATTAAAAATCGACACTGATGTTGGAGCAACATATTACTAATGTTCAAAAAACTCAATAAATAAAAGTAATAGTAATGTGGTGCTTCTTAACACAATATTATGCCATTATCCACTACACGTGACTAATATGTTTATATATATATATATATATATATATATATATATATATATATATATATATATATATATATATAAATTATACATACATTTATTTTTATTTCTTTTGTAGCAAGTCTGTTGGTAATATTGTTATATGTGTGTGTCTGTGTAAATTTTTATATGTATAGATAGAAAAAGTCATATAATATATATATTTATATATATATATATATATATATATATATATATATATATATATATATATATATATATATATATATATATACACGTATATTAAAATCTTATGTTACTGACTAAAGTTGCAAGCATCGCAGTAACGGATGTTGCAGTTGGTCCCATTGATGTAAGTGTAGCACCAAGGTCCTCTACGGCCGTCTGGATTACGACATTGGTTGCCAGACAAAATGTTTGCCATTTGGTCAGACCTAGTAATTAAGAAGTAAAGAAGCATTGAGAAACAACCCTAAAATAAACATAGTAAATCATAGTATTTTGTTCTTCGAAATAAGCGTTTCGTGTTTTAAAGTAAACTAATTGAAAAATAAAATTAATGAAATGACTTTTGAATATTTCTCGAACGAGTTATTTTTTAATGATAGTTTCGAATTAGCATACTTTTTTTTCTTATAAATGACAGAATAATAAAGGATGAAACACAATATATGCAGAGCCAAATGTTTCTGTATTAAATGTACACCAAATAAAGTGTCTTCTTATGTTGTTTTTTATAAAAGCTATTAACCATTGTAATAATAATTAATAATCTTAAGAAATATTTTTCGTTTTTAAATCGATAAGATATTGGAAGACTATGTCTTTTCAAAATCGAAAATCAGTTATTAGCAAGACTCGTCATTTTAGTTCTTCCAATTCTTTCTTCAACAATTACTTGGGAAAGTTTGAGCAGTTGACAGCTTTTGACCACTCTATACAGGGCTCGTATGTTTCAGAAATGGCAGTTTTTCCTCGGTAGTCTGCGCCATTTATTGAAGAATCATAGCAGTAGTCTTCAGCTGTGAGAAAACAAAGATTTCATAAGGTACATAAGTCTTTTAAACGATCACGTAAATGCCTAATCTAGCTGCTAAAACTTTATTTTATATATATATATATATATATATATATATATATATATATATATATATATATATATATATATATATATATATTACAAACATTTATTCATGTATTTGAAAAACGTACTCACGTAGTATAACCGTAGCTGTAAAGTTGACGCCATAGTTCGTTACAATGTTGTAACCGAAGAAAGCTTCGGCGGAAAAGTAATTCAACTCACTGAGTATCTGTGCTGGAGGCAGAGAAACATCGATTCTGAAAGAAATAACATTAATATTGTGTCTTAAGATTGGAATCTTTCTGAAAGAATGTTAATAATGTGTCTTAAGATTGGAATATTTCTGAAAGAAGTAATATTAATATTGTGTCTTAAGGTTGGAATAGGTTTGAATGAAGTAGGCCTAATATTAATATTGTGACTTAAGATTGGAATATTTCTAAAAGAATATTAATATTGTGTCTTAAGATTGGAATATTTTTGGCACTCTTTAAAGTTGTTTTACGCTGTGTAGGTCAAATAAACTATTCCTTTCCGAAATATATTTGGAAATATCATCGGTAGTTGTTTTGTTTTACCGATTACATTATTTGTATTCATATCGTTAGCAAAGAAAAAGCACATTAATTACTAAAAATAAAAAGACGTATTTTCTTAATATATGTATATGCTTATTCCTCTTGGTTATTTGCTTAGTTATCCTAACGATGCTTAAAGTGGGTAAATGCTTAGTCATTGTGGTTATTTGCATAATAACTACGTTAGATATAATTATTAATGATATACATTTCATTATCAATTGCACATATTTAACTCTCATAAGGACACCCTTAATTATCGTGGACCATGCTTCGATAACTTGACTACATATTTAATGACTTGAAACACTATTGAAATTATTTGACTACACAACATGAGTCCACTAAATTGTTTCTCACTTGTAAGCCAATTGCCAGGGATGGTAGCGCTTCACCAGAAACTCATCATTGACCGTTGGTAAACTAAATCTGTTGAAGGTTATCAAAATCTGCGAATTCTTTGGTGCCTGTGCACAGGAAAAAAGTATTCAATATGTTTATATATGTATATAAATCAATATATATATATATATATATATATATATATATATATATATATATATATATATATATATACATTTATTAACTAACGTCTTAAAACCTGGGGAAAAAAGTTACTCAGTAAAATAGGCAAACATTCCCAAAACAATACTACAATATTAGTTAACGATCAATTATTGTTTATATTATCTTACATTGAAAACATAGAAACATCTCCTGAAGGGTTCCCTGGCTTGATTGGATAGATACGGAGTCCTTATGGTCACAGAACGATTGTTAGCATCAAGATTCACCAGCTCATTACAACCTGCAATGGTTATTTCCCTTCAATATGCTGAACAATTTGTAAACATTTCTGGTAAATTTTTGGTTAATCTGCTTCCTGTGAATATTCGGACTATATTTCAAAACTAGCTGGATTGATAGAAAAAGTAAGAAAGTTACGTTACCATAGATACCAGGCTGGTAGTAGCAGGAGTAGGTGGTCCAGGTGTTGGAGAATGGCCAGAATGGTGAAGGGGCGGGTCCAAATGCATCGTTGGTGGTAGTCCAGAAGTTGATTCTGCTGTTGTACGCTTTTAAACCTGATATATATATATATATATATATATATATATATATATATATGCTGATTTATATTCTGCGCTTTTACTTTTAACTTGCGTACCAGTCAAGCGTTGTTACATCCTAGCTTTGCAACAAATATACGAAACATTTTATAAGGGTTTCATCAACACGATTTTAGACGCCTGATTTTATTTTCTTAATGTGAGTTATTTAAACTGTTAACAAAGCAGTCGCTATATTTCTTAAATCTTTGTTTTTTTTTGGGGGATGCTTGTTTGTGCGTGTTTGTCCACATTACTGGTATAACAGCAAAGGACATGTTGTATGAAAGCATTGAGTTTGCCTTTATCACCCTACGAAATAGTTAGATAGAACACTCTTCGTGTGTTAGTGGTGTCGCTTTATTTAACGATCTTAATAGCCCACCTTATCCATAGTAAACTGCGCTCTTTAAAGTGCACGTAGGCTTTTAGGGCGAACTAAGTCACACCACCGACATGGTGTGCCCGTAGTGTATAGCGCCATTTAAAATGTATGTATGCGCATATACACATGTATACACACATATATATATATATATATATATATATATATATATAGAGAGAGAGAGAGAGAGAGAGAGAGAGAGAGAGAGAGAGAGAGAGAGAGAGAGAGAGAAAGAGAGAGAAAGAGATTATTCAGAAAGAAAGTGAGTGAGAAAGAGAGAGAGAGAGAGAGAGAGAGAGAGAGAGAAAGAAAGCATATTTACATATATTTAAAGCCTAAAGAGATAAAGACTTTGTATAACTTTGTTTAACCTCTGATGACTGGACACTTAGCTCGGGTTAAAAGTCTGAAGGGCTCGCCGTCTGGTAGATCAATGATCATGTCTGAAAACTCCTGGTACCTGCAGCAGGCTTTGATGGTTATGTTGTTTGAGGAGATTGTTATATCACCGAGCGAGCCGTTGTAGGAAATACTGCTGTACGACAATCCGTACCCTCCCGCTTCGGTGAACGCTGTAGATTTGTAAATTTGATGTGAATACATTGGAATTTTCGAAATATTACAGCAAATTGATAAGGATATTAAAGCCCGAAAATGTGGATGGATTAGACATACCATGAGAAGGGGAGCAGATATATCAAAAAAAGCTATGGACTGGAATACCCACGGAAGAAGGAAAGTGGGCCGGTCTAAGAGATCAACGGTTGAAGAAGAGGCGAAGGCTGCTGGGCTCACGTGTGCACAGATAAGAAGAGCTGCTCAAAACTGAGTCTTGCGTGGAGGTGTGATCGCAGACCTTTGCTTCCCAAGGGCCCCCATATGATTGTCAAAAATGAAACAAGCCCAATTTTAAGTACTGCCTGGGTATTCTTTAGTATGTCAAGCTTGGAAACTAACACTAAAATAACACAAAAATAATTTGCACTGTTTAAATTCTAAAAACCTACCTCCCCCACAGTTTACACCTGCAGGTTTAATGAAACAGTATTGACCTCCGGCTGGCCAGGACTCCCAGTCAGGTGTGGTTCCTGCAGGTAAGTTTCTGGTGCAGATGGGAAAGTAGTTGGTGGTTCCAGATACGGGGTACTGGACAGGAGCCCCTGGGGTCTGGCTTATAGCGTAGGACCCAGTGAAGGAGAACCAGCCAGGTGTGGGATCGAATCCTGTTGGGCAGCTGTGCGAGGCCCCACCCGCAAAAACAACTATTGGTGTGTTCGGCCACTTAGCGATGGGCGATGCTGTTGATGTTTTAATTTAAAATGAATTTAACCCAAAGACTTTGAATTTAAAATAAAAACTCATTGTTTTTTAATCAAATTATAATTAAACATACGTTATGTATAAATATAAACTAGTTTTTTTTTAACTTTTCTATATTTTGGCAATTAGTAATACAGGAAAAAAAAATTTAAAATATTTTTTTTTTAAATGTATAGATTTCAACGGTTGAGTTATTAACCAAAACTTACGCCCATTTTTCAGTGTCTTGCAGTTTGTAGAGATGTCGTATTCATCCGGGCACACACATCGGCAGACGCCTTTCACGTAAGTGTAATATCCGGGTGCGCAGTCGACATTGTTTCCGCCACAGAATTTTTCTGTAAAATTTAAGTTATTTAAAAATATCATTTGTCTTTTGCTATTAATTTTACAACAAGGCTTTCAAATCATTTTTTAAATTATTTTCTTCAGGTTTTTTAGTTGGCAACAAAAACGTAATGCAGATTGCTTTATACAAGTATTTAAAGAAGATGGATTCAGAAAATAGTAACTGCCTTAATAGAAAACGAGTTGCATTTTGATATTAATAATATGCATTTATTTCAAAAGCCCTTTGCTGTTTATATTTTTTTTAAACGTATTATTTCTTAATAAGTATTTGTAAATAATCGGCCAATTCAAAAATTATGTAGAATCAGCACAGATAACTAAAAACGAGTGACTTGAACTTCATTTAGCAGTTTTTAAAAAATGTTTTTGTTTATAAAATAATACTTTTTGTTATACAGATATTCATTGATAAAAGAACATTGATTGTTTTTTATATACTTTCAACATTTTTATATCAAATTTAAAAAAAAATGTTCAATATACGTTGTTTTCTGTAGATAAACATCTTGTTCTTCTAATATTATTAATATTATACAAGTATAAATTAACTAAATGACCTATTATTCTTAGTTCATCTTCTAAATTTTAACTTGGTTGTGCAAAGACTGTTTCGAGATATTTTAAATCTTAACACGCCACTTTTATAGTCAGCAATAAAAATATTTTTTTTTAAATTATTTTAATAATTTTTTTATAATAATTGTAATTTTGGGGGGGGGGGGAGTGGAAGGGGGGGGGGGTCGGGGGGATAAGGGGATGAAGAGCAGGCCATTATTATACAAAGTAAACGAATTCTTGTTTTATTAACTAATTATAACATTATTAAATATGTCAATATGTTACTTTTGTTACTTTCTCGTGTACGGAGTATAGAGGAAGTATTGTAATCGTGCAAAAAATGGTAATTGATCTCTAACATTTCATTTAAATTTAACCGTATAATCAAATACGATTATGTTCTAAAAAATGTAATTTATTTTCCTTTTAATCTTGAATTTATCAACAAAATGCGTATATATTAAGCCGATTGGTTTTTAATAAAAAGAAAAAAAGAAATAATGTTTTTGATTTTATTAACATTAGAACAATAGATGTAATATTAGAAGGTCGTTCTGTTTGGTAGGTAGAGGGATGAAATTGTTAAACCAACGAATGATAACCAGTGTAAAGTTACCAGTAATGGAGTAGCATGAAAGAGATGTGTCTTCCTTACCGGCACATTTGAAGACTTCATTGAGTTCCAGATAGATGACCTTGTCGCCTGACTTAGTGGTGACGGTGTTGAACAGGTCGTCTCTGATTGGCGTGTACGCTTCGTTGCCGTTCCTGTTCCAAGTCTAAAACCAAAAAACACAGAAACACGTCACTCAAAATAGAAACAGATTTACATACAACAATTCTTTTTATTATTCGTTTTTAGTTGTAGGATTCCCTCTAACACAATTAAGTGTTACGTGTCAACTTGTTATGTGACTTCTAGGCCGTTGATTTCAGAATGCTTTTCTTTTTGGATTTGCATTCATAACCTTTGTCCAACCAAAAACAATCATGATTTAATTTTAATAAAATAGTTTTCATGTAATGCATTGCAACTTTCGTCGAAAGTTAGTAAGAACAGGACCGTCACTTAAAATGTTACCCAAAACTTTATGGCAAACCATATTTTGCAATGACACACACGAATAGAATTTTTTGAAGGTTCATTAAAAACGATTAAGAATTAAAAAGATATCAATAAACCAATTTACCCTCCATCAGCTAGAGCAAACAATAAAGATTATATCAAATACAGTGCATATTTAAAAACTTCGGAAACGAACAAAATTCTTACCGTACGTCCGTACATCACAGCAGAAGACGGATCAAAGAAATAGTTTTGAAAATTCGGTGATCTATTAGTAACTGAATAGGTGCCCAGAAGACCTGAACATGGAATTACCAAGTTAAGTATATTATATAAGTACATATGTTAATATATATATATATATATATATATATATATATATATATATATATATATATATATATATATGTATATATATATATATATATATATATATATATATATATATATATATATATATATATATGTATATATATATATATATATATATATATATATATATATATATATATATATATATATATATATATTACAGTCAATTCGTAATGCAGATATTAAGATATACTAGCATATCTAGCACTATAGAAAATAAGTGAATTAATAAAACTCAGTAAATTGAACCAACTAACTTTCTTGGATGTCGTCTTTGTTTATTGTAATGTAGTTCTCTCGGAGGTAGCCTTCTTGCATATGTGCAACACCCACCGCGTGCATCCACTCGTGGGTGTTGATCACCTGGCAATACAAGGGAGGTAAAAACTCTTTTATAGTTTAGAACTTTATCACTAATAGTTTTTCTCAAATTAGTTCATATTCATTACTCATCTAATATTGTTCTTAGTACTAGTCAAAATAAAATAAAACTATATCTTAATGATTTATATTTAAAACGATGGAACACATTTATATATATATATATATATATATATATATATATATATATATATATATATATATATATATATATATATATATATATAATTCTATACATGAGGACCATACAAGACACCACTAAGTAAGGGCGTAGCCGTTCCTTCCCCGCTCTCTAGGCTTATCGCTACCACTCACAGCCCACCTGTCTGGTCAGTCCTGGTTCACCCCGAATGTTTACAATGAGACGGCGATTAAGGGCAGATAATTCAGCATTAAAACAAAATGAAACCAAGTTCTCCTTCATCTTTTTATTGTCGTCTGTAAACTTTCATGTAGGGGGGCCGGAGGGGGGAGGGAGGGGGAGTATGGGGGGGGGGGGGGGGGAAGGGGAAAGAGAGGGTAGTGCCGAATTCACAAATTATGAATTACTGAAGAGTAGCAAATAAAACAACTAAATAGCAACATATGCGGTTTCAGCTCGTATATAAATATATATATATATAGGCCTATATATATATATATATATATATATATATATATATATATATATATATATATATATATATAAATATATATATATATGCCTATATAAATAAGCCTATATATATAAGCCTATATACATACATATACATATATATATATAAATAAGCCTATATATATAAGCCTATATATATATATATATATATATATATATATATATATATATATATATATATATATTTATAGGCCTATATATGCGTGGTTACATATTGGTATACATACATATATTTTGATATATTTACTTATTTGTTATTATAATTTGATAACTTAATTTACAATAGTCTTAATTTACTTACGAAATCCTGGCACGGTGAGACGTATACCCGTCGGTTTCCATTCAAATTACCACCAGAAACATAACACCTGAGGAGAAAGTTTAATCTGTTAGGTAAGGTAACTCATACGTTCTTGCATGTTGCAACCAATGCTTTAGATTGCTCTCCCTCTATAAGGCTGGGTTGTCTTCCCACTTTTTTGAAGCTCTAGCCTACGTATTAAATCTGAATGTAAAGCTATCATATTATTAAGGAGGATGAATGGTACAGACTTCTTCTGCGGATCCCTCGTTCGAGTCTGTAAGACCTCCTGAGTCAACCCAGCTCTAATGAGTACTTGACTAAAATTATGATTGGACATAACGCTGATTACTTCATCCTTACATACGCCAAGTCTCTGAAACAGAAACTCTACTACACCGGCCACAAGGACGGTTAGATTCGAATGGGTACTTGACTTACTTACTATCACATAAATACCTAAAATTAGTTTAATCTGTGGTAGGTATATGTAGTGGATACAATCTAATCAAAATCTATTACATTTTAGATTAAAATTTCTTTTATCCACAATAAAATTAATTTTGTATAAAAAAAACAGTACAAGAAATATCATACCCTGATGCATCATATGCGACAAAAATGTAATCGTTCGACGAATAACCGTTTTTGGTGAACCATTGCGTGTCACTTGAATCCCACCTGCTAGTTTCATCAATAAAGGTCAGACAGACATTTTCCGAGATCACCTGTATGGCACGTTTCAAAAGCGTCGTGTAGTAGGCACCTGGTCAGATATAAACATTAATATCATGTAGGGACGGCGTCGTCGTGTGGTAGAGCTTACGACTGCTAATTCGAGAGTATCGAGTTTTGATCCCGGGCTCCAGCCTGTAGTATTACCTTGAGTCCTCTCAGCTGTTATAAGTACCTGACTCAGATTAGGGAAATTAAAGCGGTTAAGCATTTTGCTGACAATCCCCTTTGGATGCTGACGTTACTAAAACAGGTGAACTCTACTACACCTGCCCTATTAGTCTTGGCATGAAGGTGAGAAGATCATGATTAATACCATGTATTCGAATAAGTACGCGTCTATGAGTCAATCCAGCTTAGATGCGTACTTAGCTCGAGTTGGGAAAATTCACGACAGCTCGCCATAATGCTCATATAATTTCCTCATATTCAGAGCTATGAAAACCATATACTCTACTATATTTACGTTCTGGGCTTAAAGTACTATTTTATACGTTCCGCAACAGACCTTTCGAATTAACATCAGTTAAACCTCAAAATAAATTATTTAATTTTAATCTCAGAATTATCAAAAATATCAATTTCTTATTAAAATATGACTACCATTAATAAAACTTTGAAATATGTTGTTTTAATACAAAGGTAGTGTAGGCCAACTTGAATTACTATTGTAATTGAATAGGTACATTATCCTCATGTTTTTCTTCAGTTATTATCTTTATTGTCTTATTTCGTAGAAGACTGACCAAGTCTTTCTAAAAAGAAGTATGTTTAGAAAAGTACTTGATGATACAACTTTTTAAACAATACGATACGCCAATTTTAGCTTTAGCATAATAATTACATCGTTCGCGATCATAATTTATTATATTGTTAAAAATTCTAAAGGGGTATTTTGTTTTTAGAGCCCCCCCCCCCTCTCACAAATAAGCTAGTACCCTACCGATGGCAGTAAAAGAAGAGTCGATGATATAGGGAACGTTGTAGCCCCAGTTGACCGTTCCGTTGTAGACGGTTCGTTTTTTTTTGGTGAGCTCTGGTTCCTCTGTTACATCTTCCAGCACTGGCTCGCTAGGCCTGATGCCAGGGGAAAGTAAAAATAAAAAACTTTTTTCGCACAGGCCAATAAAAAAACGGAATAGCTACATATTGAGACATACCAACTCAAAAGAGAACGAATTACTGTTTGAAACAAGCTAAATAAAGTAACAAAAAACATTAACTATTGAGAAAACTCAACGAAAAAAAAAAGAATGACATTTTGAAACATACCGAATAAAATAACGAAAAAAACATTAAATTAAGACATTACAAGATTTTTCTTTAAATTAGAAATTAAATACAATTAATTATCCAGTGTAAACGTATTCTATATTTTATACTTTAACATTCACATGCAATAACACAGAGGTATACAAACTTTCTATGAATAAATCTACAAATAATTGATTACTGTTTTCGTTAAAAATATTAAAGTCATTTAATACACTGAAGTGATATAACATTTCAATATTAAATATTTAGCTATTTAATTACCTATCGAACGTCTGAATTAATGTAGGTGGTATATCAATGCCGATCTGGGAAAAAAAATGTTCGAGTTTTTATTTTAAACTATAAGTCACGATAAAACTAAATTGTCTTCCGAATAAATATAGTTATCTAGCGTAAGTCTGTTATGACAATCCATTTTAGCACTGATCAAGTGCTTTGATTGATTAGGTGCAACGGTGATGCTGTTCAGTACTTGCAAGGAAAAATTGTTACAAAGAGTGTCAGAATAAAGGAAAGACGATTCAATAAATTAAGGAAAATTTAAAGAAAGAAAATAAGCTCAGTCAAATTTAAATTACCACTTCCAACCCAGTATCTTGCAATGAGTGTCGAAATAATAAAAAAACTTTTCAATAAATTAGAGAAAAATTATAGAAAGAAAAGATGCTAAGTCAAATTTCAATTACCACGTCCAATCCAGCATCTTGAACTGATTTAGAAGACGCCAGTGTGAACAATAAAAGACACAGCACCGTCTGTTTAATGAACATCCTGAAAAATACATACGTTTTAAAAAGTATTTTTGTATTTTGAGGCTAAATAGACAATATTTTTCTCACAAGTGTGTAAGTTTTGACACATGACATAGTTACAAATAAAACGCACATTAAATCTCTTACTTACTTTAACGAAGAAGCAGCTTCTTTATAAACCGCAAATCGACGAAGTAGACTGAGGATTGCGTCCCCTGCCTGTTGGCTAAGATAAAATTTTCCCAGCTTATATTAGAAAACGGAGCTTTAAAAAATTATTTAATTAGCATGCCTAAATATAAAAAAGATGCATATACGGAGGATTTAATTGCAACAGATAATGTAATATTCTTGTTTAATGTCTGGTAATATTGAGAGTAGTATGGCTGATAACACTAACAACAAAGACATAACAAGTAAAGTAATTGTCTGACTTGAAAAAGGTTTCCATTCGTCTAGTTATTTACGTCAAGATTCTTGTCTCTGTAAATCAAAATCTGAATTGGCCTTTTTTTCCTATATCTTAACCTTACTAAACTTAGTGTTAGACTGTGTGTAATTGTTTTTGTCAGAGTATTTATTTTGTTAGTATAAGGGTGTGGATAGAAGGCTGAATGGGACGGCGTGGTCTAGAGGTAGAGCGCTAGAGAGCTAACCCAAAATTCTCGAGCTCGAATCAGTAGAACGCCGCTAAGTCCAGCCAGCTCTGATGTGTCCACAACTCACGTTAGGTAAAGTAAAGGCGGCTGAGCATAGTGCTGACCACGCTATCCCTTCATATGCCGAAGTCACAGAAACAGGAGAACTGTACTTCACTTTCCCTATTGACCGTGGGTTTGGAAGGGGAAGTTTATAGTGCAGGGGGAGGGGGGTAAAGTGTGTAACGTTTGACCTAAATGTCCTTAGTTGAGTACCTGTAAAAGTATTTAATCGTCTTTAATTTGTGAGTATACTAATACTACCTGTTTAATGCCTAGTTTCAAGTCATGGGTAAGGGTTCTGATAACTTTCAAGATTTTACCACGCCAGGGTGGGTACCTCACTCACGCTACGGAAAGTATGGGGGGGGGGGGGCTGGGCTGAATACACATGAGAGGTCATAAATGTTCGAAAAATTGATTAATGTGGAGTCACGCTAAATGAAAGATTGAAGTTTGGTTAGGAGTGAAGAGCCCCTATACTAAATTATCACAGGATATAATGTTTAGAGGACATAACAACCCAAGACAATATATTTTATGATACAGCATCCAAAGAAAAATATTTTTGACACAACATCTCAAGGACATAATATGTCAACAAAAGTATATTTATTAAGCGACATTTTATTATTATTTTTTTGCATGAATACTAGATGCAAAGTATCCTTATTGTTTTGTATCCACAGTAATACCTATTTTTTACCATAAAATTTGCGTTTTTTTTAAAAATATGGGTCCTAGGTGCTTTGATCATAGGGGGTTTGACCATAAGGGGTTAGACCACAGGTGTTTTATCAGCAGAGGGTCAAAACCCCTATGGTCAAAGCCCCTCTGTGGTTAAACCACCTATGGTCAAACCCCGTAAGGTCAAAGCACCTGTGGTCAAAGGTCCGCGCACCAAAATATGGTACAAATTTGTTGTCGTTTGATTCCCCTGCCTAGACACAAGAGACGAGATAAAACGATGAATGGGAGGGGGGAGGGGGGGCTAAAAGTAACATGGAAAATATTAATAAAAAAGTGGAAGAAGAGTGTTCTAACTTTACATCGGCAGAGGCTATAGTTAGAGACAGAAGGAAATGGTGCCCACTAGTTGATACCTCTTGCGAAAATGATGAAGATCAGAAGGTGATGATTATTTTTATGCTGAAATAATATTACATCTAAAATTTCTATTACTTTATGTTATGCTGTTATTTAGATTCATACATTCCATTATTTTGTGTAAAACAAGTATTTAGATTAATACATTTTATTACTTGTGTTATACAAGTGTTAATATCCATATATTATATTATTTCGTGATATATGAATTGAGATTCATACATTTTATCACCCATAGCCCCCTTCCCCATCGCGCGTTTTATTTACCCTTCAGTACTTAATAAAACTACACGTGCAAGAGAACCATATGAGACCACAATCTTCTAGACAGCTAATTTCTTTACTGTTAATTGGACGAGATAAAAGACTCCCAAAACAATCCCATTAGATCTACGTCGATCATTATTGGATTCCCCCGCTCGCCCATCACATTGAACCACCTGACTCGATTCTCCTTATTGCTCTAGTTCAGGGGTCTCCAAACTACGGCCTGGGGGCCAGATGCGGCCCGCGACGTCCTCTTATCCGGCCCGCTGAGATCTTTTAGTCCACGGAAAAAAAAATGTTTGTTGGAGGTGGCTGAGGAACTATGACCAGAAAATTCAAAACAAGTTGAAAATTTAGCTTTTTGTGCAAATACCATTGCCCGCGATGTTGCAGACATTGGTGAAAACATTTTGACTCAATTAGCGAAAAATGCAAGCAAGCTTCGCCATTTTTCAATTGCAATAGATGAGTCGCTGAAATTTAGATATATTTCTATATAATTTATATTTCGTTGGGGGGGGGGGGGGGGGAGATGCCTGGAAGAAACTGGCCCCCAAACTGATAATTTATAGTTAATGCGGCCCTCGGGCTGAAAAGTTTGGAGACCCCTGCTCTAGTTAGATAAAGTGGGAATATTGTGTCCCCACTGCACGCGCTGAGTACAACGGTCACGTGGGATGAATCAAATCTTCTGTGTTCATTTGTTTGATGACCGTGTCGGTCGTACGGCTGATGTTTCTTTTATTAACAAAACTGATTTTCGTCTAGTCTATTGCTTACACTGTGTCACGGTGACATGGTTTTGACAGAGGAATGTCATCTAGAGTTAACACTCCTATCTCGCTATTCATGAATCATTGGTAAAAGTCGCAGGCGTTCTATAGAACAACACCCACTCAGTGTTTCTTCCAGACTTTTTTTTCTCCGGGGGAGGGATAGCACTTGAAATTTGCGGGGGGGGGGGGTGGACACTGGTAAAAGTTATATATTTTTCTATACAAATTCTATTTTCGTTCGTTTCAAACTAAACTGTGTAAAAATGACAGAAGAATTGCACGCTGAACAAAAAAATAATGTTTTTAAATGTAATAAACAGAGTTTCTTCCAGGCATATCTTGGGGGGGGGGGGGGGGTGAGGATCCCCCGAAGAAAGTCTATCTCCCCCCCCCTCCCGGAACAAAATTTTAATTCATTTAGATCCAAGGCGTGTCAAGAAAATCTACAGAATGGATTTTTTTTTTAAATATGTGTTGATTCTACGTTGTATAGGTAATGTACTCCCCCTTAGGTCCATTAGCAGTGTGGAGAGAGGGGCTCTGATAAATGGGCAACATCTGACTCTCGTTATCATACCGACCAAGCTATGTGCGGCTGTATTGTTAGGCATGTTAGACAGACACGTGCCCAAGACACATGGAGCAGATGAAGTAGAGTTCATCTGCTTCAGAGATCTCCGCGGCATATGAAGGTATAGTGTGGTCAGCGCTATGCGCAGTCGCCTTTGTTTCCCTAACTTAGGTTAGGTACCCATCAGAGCTCGGTGAGCCCAGAGAAGTTCCACTGATTTGAAACAGGATTCGAACACGAGACTCTCGGGTCTAGCTCTCTACCGCTAGGCTACGCCGTTCCGTAAGCAGGTTAGTCCAGGTCATTTAAATTTGTCTTTTTTTTATTTAGTGTCGTCTTAATTTTTGTTTGTATTTGGATAAACTTAATTTTATTATTATTAAATTGATAACAATTTGAAAATTATCTTATACAGATGATGTTTAGAGACGTCTAATTAAATTAGCAAAGGCCCACGTCGTGTATAGCAGGATTCCTTCTTGACCATGAAAATAATAGACTAAAACAATAGAATTACTCGTTCAAGATATTTGACATTTCTATGTGATTTGTTTCATTTTCGATTTTTCTTTGACAAGTCTTAACTACATATTGTGGTTAGACTTTTGTGTGATAGCACATATCTAACGTTAAATTAGGTGTTAAGATAGAGATAAATGTAAAATAAAAAGGCCCAATGTGTAATATATTAAAATAGTTTATGTATTATATTTTATAATTTGCAATCGAGACTTAGTGTTATCATACTTTACTTTGATTCACGTGTAAAAGTCTGTAAAGGTAAATAATAATCTATTATATATATAATTCTCTTCTGGGAGACGTTAGAAAACAAGCTGCAAGCGCGCCTTGCAATCCCCTCTCTTCCTCTCTATCGCTACCACCCCTTCCCCCTCACATGGTCAGGTGAGCTGTGGTTCACGCTAAATGTTTACAAAACAATCGTAGAGCCGGGTTTGGTGACGGCTATTAGGGGCAGATAATTTAGTTTGAAACGATTTTAAACTTAGAGGAGGTAACTAAGAGGAGGCTGCTTTCACGAGGGGGGGGGGGGGGTTAGTGTTTTAAAGCAAATATTTTCAGTGGCAGCATTGGTACTGTCGAATTCACAAATTATGAATTACTGATCTATCTATACATATAATTCTCCTCTGGGAGACGTTAGAAAACAAGCTGCAAGCGCGCCTTGCAGTCCCCTCTCTTCCTCTCTATCTCTACCACCCCCCACCCCCCTCACATGGACTGGTGAGCTGTGGTTCACGCTAAATGTTTACAATTTACAATCATAGAGCCGGGTTTGGTGACGGCTATTAGGGGCGGATAATTTAGTCTGAAACGATTTTAAACTTAGAGGAGGTAACTAAGAGGAGGCTGCTTGCTTTCACGGGGGGGGGGGGGGGTTAGTGTTTTAAAGCAAATATTTCAGTGTCGTATGCACAAATTATGAATTACTGAAAAGTAGAAAAAAAACAACTAAATAGCGACGTATGATACACCGCAGGTCGGCTCGTATAGTTTAAAATGTGTTACCTGCAAGAATTTTTTACAACCTGGCCAGATAAAAATTTAAAAACAAAGCCAACTATGAAGCCCAGTGAATTCAAACTCGTTTGCAAAATCATAAATGTTTAATTTGATTAAAGTTGCATTTAAATAAGCTGATATTTTGTAATGTAATGCATTATTTAATTAAAAGATAAGTTTGTTTTGACTTCTGTGTAGCCTACATCTAATTGTCTTTATTTTTATATCATTTAGTTTCCTTTGCTTTAATTAACGTAGACGACTATG